TTCAAAATATATAGTGTGGGTGGGAATGTCCCGTTTTAAAGGAACCATTTTGTCAAAGTCGGACTCCAAAATAATCAAGCACGTCTTTTTTTGTGTGTGTGTGCAGGTTCTACTTTAAGAAAGTGAGCGACGAGTTTGACTGCGGTGTAGTGTTCGAGGAGGTTCGTGACGATGACGCCATCTTGCCTATCTTCGAGGAGAAGATCATCGGGAAGGTGGAAAAGGTTGACTGAAATTTGGGAACAGAAAGATGACACAGAATTGCAAAAAGATCATTTTGGAAGGGAAAAAAAGGAGATAGGAAGAGAACACTGGGGTTGGATAGAAATTCAGCTGTGAGAAAAACGAACGAAAGAAAGTAGAAAGATGGAAGGAGCGATGTGTGACAGAAGGGAGATTGCGCTGCATGGTAGAAGCTCGAGTATTAAGGAGGTGGTTAGTTTTATGGAATATCTGGATATCTGCGTCATGCCTGGATCAAACCTACACACAGCGAAAGAAGCTTGGCCGGATGCAACCGGAGTGGAGGAAAGGAACATAAATTATTTCACCTGTCTTGTCTCCACTGTGGATATTCGAGGAGCGCTGTTAAAATCTGATGTCTGACCAGTCTTCCACTTCCATTGCGATGGATGGAAAAGGGTGAGGGGGGGAGGGGGACTGCTGGAAGGAGAGAGAGGATAAAGTAGTCTTCCACTTCTGCTCTGGAGGAGCCTGTCCTCCGCAGACCATTACGATGCTGCTACATTACCACGGAAAACTCTTCAATCGGTGCTTGGGACAGTAAAGAAAGCAGTTTTGTTCCATTCGGGAGTCTCGCTGCCTTTTGCTGTCTCTGTTCCTCATCAGCTGGTTACAAGGGGAGAGGACAGAGGATTTGGGGGAGTGGACCTTTAGCCTGCTTCTCCTCTTGTTGACTTCATAGCCTCAAAACTGAAACTTTCTCACCCTTGATTCCTAGATGTCATGTAGTGATCTCTCACATCAACATGTTCAGACAACAGTTCTCCACACAACTTGTTTACCAAAGCTACATATTTTTGATAAGACAAGTATCCTAGCTACTTGTTTCATTTTATTTGAATTGTGTATGTACAAGGCAGGTACTATTACTTATTAATGCAGCCTAATTTCGTTATATCTCAACTTAATGTTGTATTATTGTGTATGTTTTGAAGCTAGTTCATTAGTCATTTCAGGGCAGCCATTTTGTTTGTTTTTCCTCCCTCTGTAAGACATCGTGCACCTCAATTCTGTACTGTTTACCTGTTGAGCGTGCAGGTCTGTTCTCCTGAGCGATGGATTTTAATCACAAGATTGCTTCTTTTTTTTTTTCCACCCTTGAAGTTTATCATGAAAAACAAGAGCACACACTACAGGTGCATTATCTTTGACCACAGTATCTGTTGTTTTTTTAACAGGTCACACTGTCACCTCATTTCCATCATATTTTTCTGCTATACTGAGAGCCTGTGTACGTAACTCCAAACCCAAGTCTAGGTGCCTGCCTGCCTGCCTGCCTGGCCAGTGCCATTACTATCTAGAATGCTTATTCTGAAGGGTGTGGGTGAGTGTGAAAGCCTGTGTCATGTATGCCTGAACTCAGCCAAAGAGCATATTGTGCGTCCCATATGCCTACCAGCGTGTGTCTGTGCAGTCCCACATGTCCACAAGTATCAAGTGATTTTTTTTTTTTCATCAGGAGCAGAAGGGAATCTTCTTCCTCTTGCAGATTCCTAAACTTCGAACATCGTAGCTTTATATTGAGTTTAAAATCTGCAGTGATTAAAAGGATAGCGTGACCTTTTGGGAAAGGTGCTTATTTGCTTTCTTGATAAGAAAAAGATGAGAAGATTGATACCCCTCTCGTGTCTATACGTCAAATATGATGCTGGAAGGTCAGCAGTAGGTGAGCTTAGCTTCGCATAAAGACTGGAAATGGGAGGGAAAGGGCTGGCCTGGCTTTTGTATGAATTAAACAAACTTGGGCTGCTACAGATTATTTTAAAAATCCTCTTATTATCAATTCTGGATTAATTGATTGTCCTATGAAATGTCAACGGATCACAGTTGCCTGCAGCTCAAGTTGGTGTCTAAAAATTGCAGTTTGAAAAGTCAAGATTTTCAATTCGCTGTCACAAAAAAGGCACATTTTAGGAACTGGAACTTGTGATAGACATTTCTGTTAAAAAAAATACTTTATTAATTATCAAAATTGTTACCAGTTATTTCTCTGTTGATCATCTAAACAATTAATTTAACTTTCAGCTCTAGAACAAACTAGACATAAGGTTTAAACTTTAAATTTTTCCAGTCTTAATGCTAAGTTAACCATCTGCAGGCTGCAGCTTCGCATTTAACGCACCGACATGGGAAATGGTCTCAGTCTAGCTCTCAGCAAGACAGCGAATAAGTGTATTTCGCAAAAACGTCAAGCTATTCCATCAGACTTCTCACATCAGTATAGTAGTGCAGTATGGCCAGAATGAGGCCAGAATACCACAAAGCACCGTGCAGACAATGCACTGATCACACACCAGCTATGTAAGCTGAATGTAATTTGACTTTTTTAAACTTTTACCCGCTATATCCTCAAAGGAAATCCCTTCATTGGTCGTGTCATCACGTCTGTCTTCAAGTATTGATCTCAAACTGTTGGCCCGATTTGAGAGTTTTGTGTTATCTATGCTGGTAGTTAATGGAATGTGTCCATCAGATAAAGAGGTCCTACTGTACATCTTGCAGGAATGTCAAATACAATTTGTCCTGGGTTTTCTGCCCAGTAAGGGAAAACGTAGGATCGGAAAACATATTTGTCCTTACTTCAACCCATTATGCCTTCAATATGAAATTTCAAATTTAGATATGTATTTGTTTATAAAAAAATGTAATTTTAATAATCACCAAGCATGTTCTTTATAAGGAATGTTTTCCTGATGAGTTGAATTATCTATTTTGTTTTAATGTTTATGTGCGAACTGCTACGGCCCTCTGATATATTTTATCTGTTTTGTTGGAACGCCCAGGGACAGTTGAATGACAACATTTGTTAAGAGATGATTCTTGTGATTATGATTCGATGGACAAAACAAGCAACTGCGTCTGTTGTGTTGTCGGTTTGTGTGAAACACAGTGCCTTTATCATGTTACCTTTCAAAATATCTTTATTGAACCAATCCATGCTTTTAATGTAAGTTTTTATCTTCAGTCAGTCCCGTTGTATCTTTAGCTGCAGTCATGCTTGCTCACTTCTGTTCTGATAGATCCTCTGCTGTAAATATGTACATTATCATTTCATATGTGTCTTCAGACCTGCACCACATGTTCATGGTGTTTCTGTTTTTCAAAGGTAAACGCCAAGATGTCACTGTGCTGGTTCCACTTGTACATTTCTTTTAAAAAGGTACTTCATAATAAAGATGTTGAATAAACACTTCTTCTCTTCTCTGTATGATTTTTATCTATTATTTATTTATTTACCCTAACAGGAAATATTGCACATGCCTTATATTAAGGCAGTGCCTCCTGGCATTTCAAACCATATAAGTCTTTTTTTCAGAGTAGCTAAATGGAATTCAACCATCCTTAATTTTATTATTTACACCTGAGCTTCTTCTGTGACGTCAAAATGTGAAAAAGGTATATTTCTTCATTGTGTTGTTAAAGGAGGAAGTATTTTCCACCAACGTATAAACGCTTTTGTACATGATCAGTGGTGGAGTACATTTACTTAAGTACAGTTAAGAGGTTTATTTTTGAGGTTTAAAGTATTTCTATTTTCTTCTACATACTTAATTTCACAACACTTTAGACATTGTTGATGAATATAATATTTTCTTTTTGTTCTGCTACATTAAACTGACTAACGTACTATATACTTTGCAGATGGACATTTCCTGAAACAAACATGTCAGATATCAAATAACTTACAATCGGATGGGTTGTTGTATATTAAACCAGTCAGTAATGTATATAAAATAGTTCATCAATGACAAACTACATACATTTATGTGCAAAATAAAATGATGCGTGTTAATGCTCAACTGTTACTGGTTAGTGGTTATGACTGAGTAATGAGTATTTTTACTTTTGATACTTTCACCATATAATGCTGTTAGTATTAATATTATTATTGCATAATACTAATACATTTAAGTAACTTAAGTAGATGAGGTTTCACTTATCTTTATACTGTGGTAAAAAGTTCAATTAAGTATAAAATGGTTAGGCTATTATAGCTCAAAGTGTAAAGTTTAGACACATTAGAAGAGTAGCTGGTAGTTACTGAGTTATTACACAGTTCAATTTCAAGTGATTTTCCTGCAAAGTCAATATTTTTAAATCAGAATATGTTAGGATGTGTGTGACTGAAATTTAGCCTCTCTGCCTGGTCAAAACGGTAAAATAATCTCTCTAAATTAATCAGTGAAGATAAATCAGAGACTGTTTGTTAAATGTATCTATTTATAAGAAACTACAAACAATCAGTCGTACAAGTTTATTAACATAAAAAATATTAAAAACAAACAAACTGTAAAACGGGACACTTCATTTAACTCAAAAGATAGTTGAAACTGATTAAAACTTATAAGGCTTGTAAGGCTAATTAAAGTGTGTAAGTTAAAAATAACATTCTTGATGAAGTAGCTTCTAGTAAGTGAGAATTAACTAATTTTGTCATTTTTATTTGTGTTGTGAAAACTCTATAATATCTATTAAAAAGTTATCATATCGGTAATTTTTCTGTAACTTACAGTTAAAATTACTAGTAAAAGCGGCTTAATCGAGATTATTTTTTCAACCTAAAAAACTGAGTTTGGGTTACTTAAAAAAATGTATGTAATTGGTTCAACATGTTCTTTTAGTTAAATGAACTTACGTGGTTTTACAGTGTCGATATAAATCAGAAACTTTACTTTATCGCCTCCTTGTGGATTCTGTTGTTTTCTGACGACACTGACGTTACAACGTGGGGTCAAAGTAGAAACATGACGCAAGCACGTAAACAGAGACACACTAGTTGGAGAACGTGACTAGTTGGGTGAAGCATTTTTTTTTTTTACACGTTTAAACCTTTAATATCTGCCCTAATTAACCCACTTATACTACTAATAATATCCTAATCTGCTCTTTAACTCTGGGTGAATTTTATAAGCGACCACACAAACTGCTTATGAGCTACAGACAGCGGGTCGCCGAGCTAACCATGCTATCCTAGCGTCCCGTCAGCGATGGATCCGCTGAGTGTTGTTGCAGATGAAGTTGCTTTGGAGGGGCTGGACGGAATAACGATTCCCTCTCTGTGGATACGACTAGAAAGCAGACAGCCCGAGTTCCCCCTGAAGCTCGACGACTGCACCAAGGAGCTCGTCTGGAGGTCGCTGATCAGCAACACCGACCTGCACTTCTGCGAGCTCCCGCAGGAGAGAGAGGATGTTGTGCTGTTTGACAGGTGAGGGGTTTCATCCTGCACATGTTTTTATGTGATCATTAAATGCTGTTTTCACTGCTTAAAGATAAAGCACAGACACTGTAAACGTGTTTAGTCTGTGAGGTCCAGCTAACCTGCATTGAGTCTCACCTTAATGAAGCTTGTTGAGCTCTGTTGGATGTGTTGATTCAACTTTATGTCCTTTAATTTCGTTTCAGAGGCCAGTTTTGTAGTTTTTCTCTTCCACTACGATTATTTAACAGCTGTAGTTACAACTTTAGAAATCCAGGTTTAACATACAAAACATATAAAGTTCTTTTTAAACATTTAATTACCCAATAGTGTCTAAAAACAATCTGATATTGATGACTGAATCATCATTTTAAGTCATTTCTTATGCTCCATGCTCTTGTTTAGAGATCATTTCCAGGTTTGAATCGTTGGTCGGACAAAACAAGACTTGACTGATTTGAATTTTGACTATACTATAGAATTAACTATATTAGTTATACTATATTTATCCAAGGATATATTATATACAAAGGTCATACCCTTTGCTTTCCTGTTTTTTCACAGTTTGTTTTCCCAATGTGTGGAAATCTAAAAGCAGCAGTTTCTCCCAACATCAGTGGTACAACCTCACTAATTCTTGTAAATCCTCGTAGCCAGGTTTCATAAATCTGGTGGAAAGTCTTCCCGAAACATGGGGGAAAAAACACTTTTATGAAAAGATATATATATAGTATATACAGTCTTCTTCTTTACTAGGATATTTCGTATGTTGCACAGAGTTTTGACACCCTGTGTGTTTGCACCCATGTGTGTATTTTCAGGTTTAAAGACATCGACCCAGAAACGGGCTTTGACACAAAACAGAAGATTTCTGAAACATGGAAAGACGTCTACCCAGTCCATATTATTCTAGAAAACAAGGATGGGATTCAGGGATCGTGCGCTCTCTTCAAACAGAGGACAGACGTCACGAAGCATGTCCGCTCCAAGTCCCTCACCCCGTTAGTCAACTTGGAGGAGGCTTTGGAAAGGTTTGTGGAGTTTGTTTGATGGTATATAAATGTATCCAGCCACACACTGCCTACGTGAACAGTCATGACTCAAATGCACAAATGGATTGTGAGTTTAATGCAGTGATTCAAGCACTGTGCATTTAAAAAGGATTTTCTTTATTTAACAGAAACACTGAGTCACTTGAACCATGAAAACTCTTTCACTTGCGGTTTTGGCAACATTGTCCACATTGTTAGTTTTTAGCTGACCTTGCTCACAATTAATGTTTTTTTTATTGAAGGAAAAGAAATAATGGGCTTGAACATATTTACTGAATCTGGCTGAGTCTGCTTGAATTTTAATAGTAGATTTAAGGTTAAAAAAACACCCCCACAGAAAATCCAATTGCTTTTCCAGACTTATCAACTTAAAAAAGTCCTTAAAGCACAAATATGAATATAGTTTTCTGATTCAATGCATGTTATTACAGATTATTCTCCTCACATCTGGATGTACACACTCATTAATATGTCTGTGTATACTCTTGTCTCTCTTAATGTAAGCAGCATTGTCCCAAATATCCAAGCTTAGGCCACAAAATGTATTCAGTATTAGTAGTATTTTATATATTCTTATAGAAAAAACTAAACTGAGCTCTTTTTGGTGAAAATGTCATGTTAATGCAGTTCTACATTTGTCTTACGTCGCTCATGTTCCCCCATCTCTCTAACCGATACCTCCTCAGATATGGCCGACGGCTCGTTGTCGTGGCGTCTCAGACGTTGCGATTCAGGACCTTGATTGGTTCTGAGAGCGATCCTGATTTGAAACTCAATGACGACTCTTACTGCGTGTTGGAACGAGTGGGCCGAGCTCGATGGCAAGGAGAGCTGCAACGAGATCTGCACGGAAGCTCTTTCAAGTAGGAGACACACACACACTCACACAC